TTTTAGAATAATGTGATAAAAACCGTACATAATATTCTAAATAAGATTAAGATTAAGAATAAGATTAAGTGAAGTTTAACAGAAAATAAAACAAGAATGTCTGATTGAGAAAATCTTTAAATCTTATGATACGTTTACCTGAAGCACAAACTGATTCTTTATCCTGTTTGCTTTGTTTTTGTATTCCGATGTAAATATGTCTGTGTCTTATGTTTGTGTTTATGTAGGATTACAGAGGAGTGCTGTTTTAAAATGAGACCTAAACACATATAAATTTAATTTTCACCATTCATGGATTAGAGTATCTAAGCATAAACATGACATAATTGTTCAATTAGTCATGATAATGTTGACAGACTTATTTGTCCATGTGAATTTTGCTTTTATAGATTTTATTTGAAATTAAGGTATGTTAGTAATTCCAAATATTACAATTATTGACCATTTATAAGACAAAGGCCTTGTGTTTCAAATAATATCTTTAAAATAAACAGTGGACATCAGTATTTATTCAAAATCTAAAATCCCAGGTGCTGTTGAATAGCAACTAGGATAACTCTGGCCTCTGGCACTTTTTTCTTAATGAAACATCACTGGTTAGTTATTATATACTATACACATCTAGCTACCAAACTAAACATTTTATTTGTATTTAATAAATTGTGCTCAGTTTCATTGGGATTTCAACACACAGGGATCAAGGATCTACTAAACACATTGTAGTTCAACATTAGCACCTCTATTACATTCCACAAGAAACCTTTGCTCCACCTGATCCTTCTCTAGGTGATCTTAAGCACTTGCATTAATAAGCAATTAAAGCTCAGTTTAGCAATTAATTTATCGGAAAGTTCAAAGAATCGTAAATGTACAGTATGTAAAGAAAATGTCAAGGGTGACTACCCTTGTTCTAGATTCTTTCTAAAAATGATCAGTTAAATACACCAAAAACATTTAGCTGACTCTCTCAGCTTGTCAATTCCTCTATTTAGCGTCTCAATTCCTCTACAGGTAATAAACCACGAGATTGCGTCACTTCAAATGCGGGAGACATACAGCAGTATACCTTGGAACGGACAGAACGGCAGTCCTAAACAAGTGTAGAATTGTCTCGGCAAAACAAAATAAGAACATGGGATATGCATAGAAATCTCTTAAGCTGTTAATTACTGCCTTAATTAATAATTAATGACATAATAAATTACTGTTTTCCAGGATGTTTCCTATGACAAAGCTGAAAAAGATACTGTATGAAACCGAAAAAGAAGGGAACGAGTACGGCAGGTCATTTTGATTTACCTTTTGTTTTCCCAATGAGGATCCCGCTTATTTCCGCTTGTGCCTCGTTTATTTTATCCGTCTGTTTTCGGTCAGCAAATACTTGTTGTTGTTTTCTTATCTTAAATACTGTAAGATCATTTCGTGTGTAACTTGGAAAATATATTCAATTCTTTCGGCATTTTGTTTGCTTTGTAATATCGGGAAAACAATATTGAAAGACAACGCACAAATATTACGGCTCAATTTTACTAGAGAATATTTTGTACAGCAGATGTATCTGTATTCTACACACCTGAAGTTGTCACAGGAACTGTTGCCAGGTGACTCCCAAATTGGATATTTTAGAACAAGACAGGTATTTACAAGATCATATTACAGCTGTGGACAATCTATTTCACACTGCCTTAAACAGATATGACAATCTCAAATCAGTACTATATCCTGCTTAACATTCTCTGTTTTTTTAGATTTTCATTGTAGAATATATCTGATGTCTGCTATTTATTAAGTTTTCATAAATCAATATTAAGATTACGTTAATCAAAACAGTTAACCCCCCCCCCCCCTCCAATTTAATAATTGTAGAGTACTGTAATTACCACTTTAGTACTTTCCTCTCTGAATAGTTTCGGACAATAGAAGAGTAGCGTATGTAAAAACATTAGAAATTGGCTTGCAAAACCGAACAATGGAACTGTTGACAATAAAATCACGTTTTCGCGTTGAAGCTGTTTCACCCTGAGGCTTTAAGCTAAACCGGGAAGAAGACCTTCTTGACTGAACATCTATAGACTGCAGCAATATAGAAGAAAGTTACGAACAAAACAAATGCCTTGTTAAGTATTAAAAAAATACTGCAGGTCAGCTAGTTTTAAATTTTTTAGCGGTTGTAGTTTTAATCAAGAATTACTGGAGAATGTTATTTTTTCTGTCATCAAATTTCCGTATATTATAAATAAGCGAAATTCTGTGTTATTACAGCGTTACATTATTTCGTAACACTTCCACAATAAGTATTCTTATGATCAGATTCGGGGAATTTATGTTTTTGCATAAACACTGTTATTTACACAAGTTCTGCAAGTTTTCAATTCCTCATAATGGCATTGTCTCATTTTAAAATGACTTCCTCATAAAATAAATATTTTTGTGTGGAAAATAATTAAAACGTGTCCTTTTATTATCAGAAAGGTTCGTAACTGTTTCAGAAAAACACATCACATAACTGAGAAAAAATAATTTAATCCTTTACTGTTCTACTTTTATAATACTAAAATGTACTATTTATTTTAGCCCCCATTACAACTTTATTTTATAAATTTCTTGGATTTATTTCCCTTTTTAAGACTCTGTGTGTCAATAGACTAAACATTCCCCTATAGTTCGGAAACCCCTCTGAACAGAGTATGATCTCAAACGTGTATTATAAAATATTTTACTTGGTTGCATCTTTGTTTCCCCAATGTAAAACAATACTGTTGGTACATCACAGTTAACCTCAGATATGCTGATATGGTGAAATTCATGGTTGTTTCAACACCATTTTTATTGGACCACAGCCACAGGAAAGAGGAGGGACACTGTTCCGAAGAACTGGCATAAATAAGCACTTTTAAGAAGATGGCAATAAGTGTTTTTTCTTTAACATATCCTTACATTTGCCTATACAAATGTATAGGCATTTAGCCTATATATTAAATACGCCTATACATAGCCTATACATTAAATATGCTTTTAGCCATTGGTTCCTCTGATTGTTTATCTCGCAAGTCCATGTTGGGAGTGCCTACCCCTTTGGTTTTCATGCTTGTTATGACCTATGTAATTTGGCCACGTCAGTCGGGAGGGAGCTGAATTGTTGCTTCATACTGCTTTTACTGATTTGGAAAAGGGCCACAAGTAGACCTGTAGCCACAGGGCCCATGACCAGGTTAAATTGCCTCTGCTTGTGCATATTACAAATAAACTGAACTGACTGCTAGAAGTAGAATTTCTAGTAGTCTATACGATTTTCTTAAATACAATCTGTGGAACACCATAAATACCCGGAGATTTGATAATTCTAAGTAATACTTCTTCCTCTTCTAATACCATTAAAACTTCTGCTCTTTCTGTGATAGTATCATTTAATATACAACATTGTACCTACAACTTGTAGTACGTTTGCCCAGCACTGCTGTGGAAAACCTAGTACGGCCTGACAGCTGAATTACTGGTTTTGAGGATTTGTCAGGCTGCCTTTTTCGTTTCCTCACTCATTGTTTGTCTGCTTTATAAACTTCAGATACTGTTGGAGATATATTTTTTGCAGCTATCTCAAAGTTATCGAACTCACCACTGCGGAGGCCTGCCACATAGTCTCTCAGTGAACACACGAGAACACACTAGTTACAAATCCAGTTATTTTGGGATCTTTTTTTTATCAACATGTGTTTCTCTTTCTCTTAGCGCTTTCCGTTTTTTGTGCCTCGTTTTCAAATTTCCTGAACACCAACATTTTGCTAAATACCTCTAATGTAACATTCCATAAACAGTCAAAAGTGCATTTGATACAAAGGCCGATCAGCGTTAGGGTGGATCCCTGAATAAATCTGGACAATCAACAGCCATGGATACAGTATGTGACACATGTTAAAAAAAAAAACTAAAAAAACTTTAAAACCCTAGCAAAAGAGAGGCCCCCGGGTCATTTGGGGCCCCTGGGCTGAAGCCCAGGTAAGCCCGTGCATTAAATCGCCCATGTGAACAAGTGCAAGGAAATGCTTATTTGGTTCTCGATCCAATGGCCACAAGCACTTGTCGATCAAAAATAATTGCTGAAAAAACAGACTGGATACAAAAAGCCCACAACACGGAACAGAAAAAGATGTACAGACGAGAAGCAACATGCAACACGTCGCCATATTGACTACTCACTTAGGCATCTTAGATGACCTTCCTGTGCCCTAAAACACTAAAGTCAGGGTTGATATCCACATGGAACATAACAGTGGAACATGGCTAATGTTACACCCCTCAGATAAAAGGAGAAAAAAACATCAAAGTATTTATAGATCAATAAGTCATTAGTTATATCCATTTCATGTAAAGCTATGGGAATGATTAAATGGAAAAAAGGATTATCTATTATATACAGTATGCAGGTGGATGCTGCACATTGTTGGTGGTGGAGGGGAGTCCCCATTACCTGCAAAGCGCTTTGAGTGGAGTTTCCAGAAAACCGCTATATACAGTAAGCTACTGCCCTGTCTCTCTCACACCTGAAGAAGGCTCCACGGCCGAAACGTTGTGATCTCTTTCTTCTTTTTTTCAGCATGGAATAAACGTATTACTTGTTCCTATATACAGTAAGTGTAAGTGTAACAGTTCTTTGCATTTCCGGCCTTTCCGCTCCATTACATAAGCTATTATTATTATTATTATTATTATTATTATTATTATTATTATTATTATTATTATATGATTCTTCGCGACAGGCAACATGGATTTAGAAGAGGCCGGTCTTAAAGCTATTGTCTTAAAGTTACGGCTCTTTAGTTTAGTCAAAGATCTAATTCAAGTACTCAAAATTCTCAGTGGAATCGGGATGTTTGTTGAAAGTGACCTCTTTAAAACGAATAGATGCTCTTCTCATTCTACTTCAGATTCTCTCTTGCCTTCCTTAACCTGCAACACTGAACTGTATCCAGGCAGTTGCCATAGACGCGGAGCAGGACGCATGCGCCCTAATACCATCCTGCACTGTTCAGTAATGGACGCTTGCGTTGTGTATAGAATCTGAAAGCCGACAGCAAACTCATAAGGCCACACTTTTTACTAACTGCTAACATGAAACTAACCCCCAAATTAGTTCTTGCGAAAGCCAAGGCCTCGGACCTCGATAGCGTTAAGAAACTAAATTGCTGGTAAGTATAAAAATATTTTATATAGTTTTTCTTCTAATTGGTGTTAAGTGCGGATGTCATAGCTGTGCAGCAAATCCTGTTTAAAGTTACGTTCAGAATTCAAAATAAGAATTTTAGAAATTGTGAGTTCGTATAGATAATACATGCTTAAATTATAAAGATTATTATGTAGATACTCATACGCAAAAAAAATTGAGTCAAACGTAATGTTAATTTGGAGACCATGTGGGTAATATGTATTTTGTGTGTGTCTGGGAGTTAGGATTGTAGGTAGGTATAAATTGTACCTCTTATTGTATTTATGCGTTGATTAAAAACAATGAATTATAAATACAGTGCCTTGCATATGTATTCAGACCCTTGCACAGTTTGTACAGATTTAATTGCCTTAAAACATGAAGTCATTACACTTTGAAGTAACAGATGTTATATTTAAAACGTAATCCACACATAAAAAGTTACAAAAACAAATTGAAATTAGTAAATATATAATATGCAAGAAAATTGAAAGGTCATGACATGATTGCATTAACTATTTGAACTCTTTGTTGTGGCAAACCTGAATTAATTTATTAATTAATGCATATTGTGTGGCTTAATGAGCCACATAATTAATTGGGTGTGCATCAATAGTGGTTCACATGATTTCAGAATCAGAGACTTTTGTGAGGTCCCTCAATCATGTAGTGAATTTCAAAGGAGTCAACCATAAAGACACAAGAACTTTCAAAACAACTCAGAGATCCATATAAAGGCAGTTCAAGAGAAGAGCATTTGAGCATGTAGGTGTATCACACCACCTTGAAACTGCTTAAATCAAGCTGTCTCTGCAAACTGGTCTTACCAAGGAAGAAAGTGGTTAGGGATGACACAGTGAAGCCAACATTGACTTTGAGCAGAATTTAGTGGCTCGGGTAAGAGAAAATGTCCATGGGACACTCCATAGATCTGGCCTACTGTATATGACAGCATATAGCAAACTATTTCTCTTAATGAGTTTGTAACACAACATTCAGTAATACTTTTGGCAAAAAAAAATTGTGGTCAGATGAGAGATAAAGTTGGAACTTTTGGTCTATGTGCAAAACAGTCCATCTCCCCTAACTCACCAGATTCCCCAGTCAACACCATCTCTATTGTCAAGCATGGTGGAGACAGCATCATGAATGTAAATAGTTCTCTGCAGCAGGGGCTGGAAAGCTTGTTGAATTTAAGGGGAATTGATGGAGAAAAGGATAGGCAAATTGTATATAAAATATAGGAGTACCTGTGTGTTTTTAAAATTCTTATTAGCCTACGTTTCCTCACAGTGAAGCACAGAAAAAAAGGGGATATTCAGCTTCTAGAGAGATTCTTATTGTACAAAGTGATTTTCACCATCAATGTCTTAAACCTCAAATAAAACATTTTTAATTACTCTGGAATGAAAAATATTTTAATGAAGTTAATGCAGACAACTGAAGCAGATATTAACTCTTTTGTTTTTAAATAAATGTACATAATTTTATACCATTAATATTACATAATATATACCATTATTACACTTCAAAAGAGCTTACGTATTTGTGTCTGTACATGGTTAGTCAATCCCTGGACTTAACAGTTACAGTAATAACTTTCTAAGCTATAAATTGATTTCTAAGATATTAAATTGCGTTCTGGAACTACTGTATGTAGTCTGTTTATGTACATAGTAATGTATTTGTAGATCTTGCAGTAAAAGTGTAATTTATTTTAGTTCTAATTTTTTTATTTACTACCCACTTTGTTTCTTTTTAGGGGGTGTAATCTCACAGATGTAAGTATATATTTGTATTATTTTATTACATCATATCCTATTACAGTGAAGATTTTTCCAGATTTTTGTACAACTTAAAGAGACATCCAGATGTTTTGAATACCTTCCTTTTTTCAGATCTCCATCTTTGCTGAAATTCCTAATATTGAAGTCTTGACTCTCAGGTAGGTCTTCTTATGTAACTTGTTTTAAATCTTCTTAAAATAATGTACAAAGCAATTTAAAAACCCTTTATTTTAGATTGATCTGCTTTCTCCATCTGACCTTCAAAGAGTGAATGATATTAAAATGTATCACATTATTGATTCTTTTAGTTCAATTTATTGTGTCACAACATGTTTTATGACTATTTACTGATGTTGAACAGCAAAAAAAACAATCACCTTAAATTGCTTCTGATTGGCTGTAAGCCAAATTTATTAAAACTTTTAAAATTTATTTTTTAAATACAGTGCAAATAAAATAGATACACTGAAGAACTTTAGCCAGTGCCGCAGACTGAGCGAGCTATATCTAAGGAAAAACCTCATAGAAAACCTTGCAGAACTGCACTATCTGACTTCCCTGCCTTGTCTCCGGGTGCTCTGGCTGTCTGAGAACCCCTGCTGTGGGGAGGACCCACAGAAGTACCGCCTCACGGTGCTGCGCATCCTGCCCGGTCTTCACAAACTAGACAACCAAGGTGAGACTGCCAGTGGTACCACACAAACCTCATATGGACAAGTGCCTTATTTAAAAAAACGGTTTTGTGGTTAAATGGTTAATATTTCACATGCAATATAAAGGCAGAAAGTGATTTCATATTTTAGTATATTTTATAACACAAACTGACTTGCAGTGTAGCGGGATGTCTTTTATCACATGCATAAAAAGCACAGTTTGAGACAGTAGGATCTCTTCTTAGTGAATGCCTAAAATAGTCCATTTTCTTTAGATTATCACTAATAAGTCACTGCAGAGGTGCACAACAGATTTTTGAATTATTTACATTGCATTTACAGAGATGAGTTGAAAATAAATGATGGATAATTTTTTAATTTATTGTAGTTGCCAGTTTTTGGGTTGTTTACATTGTCCATTTATGCATTATTGTTTTAATCGGTATCATACAAGCTTGATCTAAGTCTTTCTCAATGACTTTCTTAGTGACTAAGTGATTTGAATACACAATATAGGTACTGATTTAACATAGATTATAAAATGAATGGATAATATATGTAAAGATCTTGCATTGATATTCTCACATCCCAGAGTACACATTTATGACATAATTAACAAGCTCCAGAGTCTACTTAAACAGTGCAGTGAACTTTGTTTTGTCATGAAAGTACTAAACAGAAGACTATCATACTTTGTTTTGCAGTTAAATTCTCAAAGTTACCAATTATTTACTTGTTTAGCAGATGCCCTAATCCAACATTACTTACAAAACATACAATAATACATTAAGGAACAAGTAAAGGTTTATTCCATGCTGAAAACAGAAGAAAAGAAACACAACATTTTGGGTGTTCCTTTGCACCCTATGCATGCTGATTCAGCTACCTACTGTACATGAAATTATACATTAAGTTACTCTGGGTCCAGTTCAGGACTTTGAGAGCTGTCTGCTTGGATATGAAACTTCCTGTGTTCACATGGGTTTTTGCTGGGTTCTCCGGTTTCCTCCTTCAGTCCAAACACTTAGCTTACTGGTAGGCTAATTGGCTAATGTCACAATTTGCCCTGATGCAAGTGTGGCATGTCTGCCCTATGATGGACTGGTATCCCGTCCACTGTATATTCCACCTTGTACCTGTTGCTTGCTGGTAGAGGCTCCGGCTTCTTTGCGACTACTGGACCAGCCTGCACCGTGAATGTTGAAATGATGTTCAGTATTGACAAGAAGAAGTACAATTGTTTGTGTGTTATTAGTTTAAGCTGATTGTGTTTGTCTATTATTTTGACTTAGTTGAAGATAAGACCACATTTCTATGAGTAATTAATGCAGAAATCCAGGTAAGTCCAGAGGGTTCACAAACTTTTTCTTGCAACTGTACCTTGTAACTCTCAGTTTCAAGTGGAAGCTGTGTACAGTTGACAAAGTTGACATTTAGAATTGCAATGATAGCGTTAATTGATAATTTTCTTCATCCACGTGGGATAGATCACATACTGATAATGAGAACAAAGTCTAACTTTTAGAAAGCAACTGTTAAAATCTCCCAAAATTTGTTTTTGGAACATCTGAGGATGCAGTGTCCAGTTTCATAAAATATTAAGATGTTTTTCCACATTAGCTTTAGGGTTGATGTGAATAATTGCCTTAAAGAGTTGGAGGAAGCCTTAAGGGCGATTGAAGGGACACAGGGAAATGCTAAACAGTTCAATGTCAGGAATACACACATTCAGACAATATTTAAGTACCAACAGATGTTAACCCCTAGACAGACCTGTCTTCCTTGTTTGAAATGCAGTTAATTTCAAGTTGCATTTCAATTATCAAACATTAGAATCATAGTTGGAAGGGGGGTTTATTTCCCTCTACTGAAGTTTCTGTGTCAGCCCACCCACTTACAATGCTTTCGCTTCAGTAATTATAAACCATATTCTGTATTGAACTCAAAATAACTCTAGGAAGTTTGGCAAACAGAGTATCTGAGAAATGGAATAAATTGAACTTTAATGTAAAGAGGAATTTGTGGCTATATTTCAAACCAATGCTGCTATCATAAAGTACTTTCCAACAATTCTTGTGGACTAACTTCATCATTAAACGGCAAACGCAAATCCGTTTACAAGTATTATAATATTGTTCTTCTGACACCTTATCCAAGCACAAGACAAAACAAAACCTATAAATACAGTAGCTGTGCTACAGGTTGCTTGAGTATATGCATTACATATGGTTACTATTTATGATATTAGTTGAAAGTGTATTTTTAACTTTTAGTGCCCTCTGTTTTTTCAGTAACTTGTCTTAGGGATTCTGTTTGTTGAGATGTACAGAGGAAATTGTGGTGTCATGACATGTTTCTCTGGGTCTTAGTAGTGACGGAGGAGGAGCTGGCCAAAGCTCTGGAAGAAGGAGAGGAGATCAGTGCCCCACCTGCAAGCCACAGCAACACCAATGGGGTGGCTGAGGCTCACCAGGAGCTTATTCCAGCAGACCATGTTGCAGACACAGAGAGTGACCCACTTAACTACAGCATGGAAGAGACCAAGTAAGAACAGGGGCTATTTAAGATAGCACTGTTGAGTCTGATCCCTGAGGATCTTTGCCCTTTTTGGGTTTTATAGATAATCTAAAACATGAAATGGCAAAACATTCAGACGTTTGTCATTTAGACAAAGCAATTCTGCATTTGATTTCTTTTATTGAGAATCCACATGGAATAACAAAAGAGACCCTGTGACCATTCACAACTGTGTTAACATAGTTACATACGGTAGAAATCATAATCTAAAATTTACAAAGTGCATAATCCAGTATCACATGGATTATGCAACGGCTGCCACAGTATGCTTACCACACATCAGCTATCGGTGGGAAGTGAGTAGTGCCAATTCATAGATGGAGATTATTGGAAGGCCTCAATTGCTGAAGGCCAGGGGGAAATTTGGTAAAGACACCAAGGTAACACCCCTACTCTTTTTGAGAAATGCCCTTGCATTTTTAAAGACCATAGAGAGTCAAGACCTCGGTTTTATATCTCATCTGAAGGATGTAACCAGTAGTCCCCATCACTACTGGTTACACCTCTTCCAGCACCACCCTTAGCTTTCCCAAGAGAAATGTACTGGCCTTTTCAGGTACTGGGCCAGGCTTACACCTGCTTAGGTTCAGTAGGTTCCAGTTGTGAGTTGCAGAGTGATACACTGCACTATATGCAGCAGTTATATCGTGCTGCATTTATCAGTAGCAGCATTACCAACTTCTTGTCTAATCTTTACAGATCTAAGAAGCATGGTTGGGTCTTTTGAGATGCAACACTTTGAGTGAAAACCAGGTTGCTATTGTAAGTGGTGTGGCTTTAGTGTATCAATGGCAGGCAGTCCTCTTTCTGCAACACAATTTTCAAACCAAACACTTTAGTTAGGGACATGGAAGATATTGTGTTGTATGTGGTGTTGTCCTTTGGACAACTGACTAAACTGAACTGACCATTATTACTTGTGGAATTGCTGACTGACAAAATTGCCATAGAAATCACAAATTGGATACCGTGCAGTTAATGAACCACTCACATGTAGCTTAAATTCAGTGGGTCAATGGGTGGGGCTTGTAGTGTCAGCAATTGCATAACCCCAACCATGAACTCCTAAAGGTTCAAATTCCAGAGATTCTCTCTGCCACTGTCCATAGAGAAGTGGGTGGAGCCTAGCCTGGCCAGACACGCACAGCTTCTACTGCTTCTTAACAAGCTCTTTTCCCTTCTTCTCACTTGCCTTCAAACTGGCTCCTTCACATCTTTTTACATACTTCATCCAGCCAACTTGTTACTGTCTTTTCCAATATGAACTCCTTAGCTCTGTCTCCCATGTCTAGGCCTTGTATAATTTCAGGCTTTCTCTAGAAGTGCATGTCAGCACTGAATAAAGTAGACTTCATATCTGCTTTTGTCCCCTATCTTTCACCGCATTGCTCTCATTGAAACAAAGATCTCTCCTGACAACTCCACTATCCTAGCATCACTCTCCACTGCTTACATATTATCCCACTGTCCCCATCCTTCTGGTCAGCAGGACACCACTTTCTTCTTTCTACTTTCCCCTCTGACGTTCTAATTACAACTAGTCAGATGTGCTAATCCCTAGTCTGTACTTCTGAAACTTTCACCTGCTCTCCCTACTCACAAAGTTGTCTATAAAATTTATCTTCACTTTTCCAAGGACAGCTCCACCTCTGCTATATCTGTCATCCGTTTTAACTGTTCTGATCACCATTTCATCTCCTTCTCACATTTCTTCCTCCTCTACCAACTCCCACTATAACTTTATGCTGTAATCTGTTTTATTTCACTACTTTCACTTCTTCCACACTCTTTGCATCTAGTATCTAAACGTAACACAGATTCTGCCACATCCATTCTCCTTTCAGCAATTACCCCTGTGCGCTCTTGTCTCACCTTACCTGTTTTTCTCCTCTCCAATCTTGGCTCTCTTCTGTGCTCCATTTGGCCAGATCCATACTGTGATCAGCTGTGAAAAAATGGAGATCTAAATTAAGACCTCTGTTACTCTCCTTCTCTTCATCTCTTAACTTTTTTCAGTCCTTATCCCCATTTCTCTGTCCCAGCTGACTTTGCTTAGTTCTTCACCGTCAAGATCAATTGAAAAAAGATACTCACCAGCTGCTGTCTACCCTCTCAGTCTTCCAATGACATTCCCCCTTTCTCCTTTTTTAAATCACTCTGATACTGACATCTCCTCTTTGCTCATAAACCTACCCCCAACATTCTAGACTCCTCACTGTCTCTTACTGGCAGCTGTCCTTGACGTCCTAATTTTTGTGTCACTTCTCTCCTCATATCCTCTTTTCCTTATTCCTTCAATCAGGACTGAATTGTACCTCTGTTAAAAAACCCACCACCTTGATCCTTCTTCAGAACTATTATTTTTCTCCCCTTTTCTCTAAAACCCACAAACAGGTAGCATGCTGTAAGCTGTTGAGTTGTTGAAAATCCTCTCTCAGGACTTCTTATGCCACACTGTTAGTCTGGTCTCTTCATAGCCTCCTAATAAATGCACACATACATTTAATTTCCTCATTCTTGCCAACCACAGTACACCAGTCTATATCAAGTCCCTCATTGCCTGCACCATACTCCCTTCACTGTACTCTGCTCCTCCTCCACCAGTCTGTCTGTTCCTCCTTCTGTTCCCGCAACATTCAGGGCCCATTCATTCTTGACTTTTTCCACAGTATAGACGGCACCTGTGATGGTGGAACTTTTATCACCAACTGATACTACACTCTGCCCAATGGCTTTACTGTAATTTGTAATAGACATGGTTTTCATTTTGCTCTGCACAGTTCAGGCATTGCTCTTCTAACGTGCCTATTTCAACATTTTTTTTGGATCTGACTTTTGTATTACTGGATATTTTTAAGGCACCCTGGATTTGGGCATCTAGAATAAATAAATAGTATAAATAATAGAAAGTTATGCACCAGAGACTTAACTTTAGCCACTTAATGTCAGTATTTGGACACTAAAATAATTGAGGATCATTCTTTTGCTTCCACTGCTTTCTCTCTAAATTTTATTTTAACTTTTTTTTATTTTAACTGATGCTTAATTTATTTTCTGTATAGTGTCACTATACTACCACTAAGCACAATCTTGGTGTTCAGAGTTTTGGAAACACTAAATAGTCTGAGAAATAAGCATAGTACTGTTTATTATTCTTATTTGTAAACTAGTCTCACTAAAATCTTTACATCCCTGAACAGTATACTGTATAACTTGGTTTCTCCTGGTTTATATGGATTGTGTTGAAGTGGAATCCAGCAATACCATTTAGTTTTGGACACTACATACTCACAAGCATTTGGAAATGTACTTTTTTAGTGTTCTGTAGTGTCACATGCTCCTAATAAAATTGATATCTATTTTCTAAAGTCGTTATTTAGCAGTCATTATGATCTACTTGTAAATGTAAAATACAAATAAGGATCATAGCCAACTTGATATACTCACCGTGGACTTTAATTTTTTTCTAGTAAAATTCGAGAGCAGCTTGGAATGAAACCTCTGTCTAGAGATAAATTCCCATCTCTCTCCTCTCCAAGAGAAACAGGATCTTCGTTGGGCAAAAAGGTATGTTGACTGTGCTAATCCTTGAATTTGGTCTGTTCTTGTTTGCAAAACTTGACTTAGGATACGCTTGTATCTTGGACAGCAGGGACAGTTACAGGAAGAAATATTACTTAACCTAAGAAGAACAAATAGATTTCAACAGGGGCATTTGCGAAATTGTGGGAAACCATGTAGCAGAAACTTTCTTTTTTCTAAGGTGCAGTCAGTTTTAATTGGTTTCATTTAACAAAATTCATATCTACAAATTCATATCTAAAAGGAGGTAATATAAGGTGCTTTCCTTGTATTACTCCATGGGTACACTTAAGAGTTTTCAGTTGTATATTTTGATATTTGAATTTGCATTAAGTAACTTTTTGGTTTTAAAAACAGTAGGTAAATGGATTCCCAATCTTACACTGTTTAAAATCGGGTGAATTAGGACATATTCAATGTAGGAGAACATATCAGAAGAAATGGTAGTATTTTTATATAACAATTCCTAATTTATTCATCTTTAGAGGTTATAAAACTGCATAAAAATGAACAGTGTATTTAACAAAGGTCTTAATTTTTTTAACTTGTTTCCAAAGTATTTTTGTTGTGGGAGCCCATCCTTTAACCAATAAAAATCGTCCTTTGTAGAGTCACGCACTAGACGCTGTGCTGCTGCTCCTGAAGGACCTGAATTCTGAAGAGCTGCAGATTGTTCAAAAGACAACTGAGAGTAGATTACGCGTTCTGCAGAGACAAGACACTTCATCAGAGAAGACCAGTTTCATCCAGCATTGAAGCAGGCCTGAGATCTGCCTGCCAGAGGGACAAAGCAAGACTGTTTGGAAAATCTAATGTTGCTTAAATATGAATGCACTTGTCAAATATAAAAGACAATACACTTATTGTCACATCATCTTGTGTTTGTATGTTGTGTTACACTATGAAAATGGAGTAGAGAAAAAAAAACTTTTTGTTGTGGTTTCAGTTCCACTTCTCTGTATTTTTGCACTTTGTACAAGCACATTAGCACTTAGCCTAATAAAGACAAAAATGTAGCACGTAGAGACAGCTGAAATCATTTTCTTTCCATCTCTGAAGTGCAGCAGATTTGTTTTTCAGTCTGCTATAACAATCAATCACTAGTTTTCTCTGTAGTCTTTTCTAGGCACTCTCTGTTGGTTTCTGAAACCCACCACAAAAAGTGTATTTTTTTAACTCCACAGTTTGTGCAGGATTATTGCTTGAAATAGTATACATTTGTTTTCATCAGATTAACTCAAACCTGATTTAACAATTCTGGTCTAGTTTGGTGTAAAGGTTTAGTAATGACTTTTTAAAATTCTTGATTTAATATGTTAATGTGTAACTCAGTCAATTTCAGTTTTATTTTGAATGCTCCCTTCCTTCAAATCAAAGTTAATTGAATTAGTTGTCTGAATATGAAAAATGGTTTTGATGAGTATTTTGTAACAGCATGATTTACTTCAAGACAACTTTATTTCTGCATATTAAGGTTGCAAATATAGATAGGGAAAATAAGGCTGTACTGTTCTAATACCTGTGGAAGGCACACTGGAACATTCTCATATTTGAATTAGATACTGGGGGTTCTGTGTGTTCTCTAATTGTAGAGACAAAAGGTACTATTACCATGTTTTAATCATAGTATATATTTTTATGAAAATTAATTTTCTTCCCAGCAATGTTGGATTTATAAGTCACTTCTCCCATAAATTACAAGTCCAGTATTATATATATATACATGAGTACACAAATAAAGAGTATTGTATATAAAAATAATGGTATTGTATATGAATAGAATATTTTTGTGTACCTAAAATATCATCTGTATTAAAATGTTCTTGTTCACATGTTACAGCACTATGCTATACCACTGCATTGGGCTCCCTACAAGAGTGTGGAATGGCACTTGTAAAATTGAGCATACTTGGTTTTAAACCCTGTCTTTAAAATGAAAGGAACCCATTGCAGGTACATTTTGGAGTATTTCCTACACAAAGGTGTATGAGAATTTTGGTTCTTCTTGTAATCAGAATGTAATATGTCAAAGACTGATGCATATTTGCATTGTTTATGAATAAAGGATTGATGTCATGTTTTGCTTTGAGTTCCTAACTACTGTACTGCAGTGGTTCATTATGATCTAATTTTCATAAATTGTTGCTGTATCCAAAATCTGCATTTATGCATTGAAAGCTGAACAAATGTTGTATGACCTCTCCTTTTAGATTTAAAATTTTAATGACAGTAACATAGAATCTTAAATCTGTGGTAAATGACTAATAGTTTAGGTTTCTTTCTATTGCTACCATACCAAACTTTACTAAATACTTTATTGCCATAACAACTAGTTACATAAAATTTAGTTTGGTGAGACCATGCAATAATTAAAAGACATACACTACAAATATACAACATAAAGCTAATAATAGGCAGCACAACACATTTTCAGGTTATATACTGGACACACACCAGTAATAAATAACAGTGAAAGGCAGAATATCATTGAGACGTGAAAAAAAAAACCTGAAGTGCAGCGTTTAGGTATCTCAGAACCTAGTAATCCTTGTCTTCATAGCCCTAAGGTGTCTCCAGAGGGGTGGAATGTAAAAAGAAGTGGTAAGGGGTGGCAAGGATCTTCAGATCATGTTCCAATCTAGACAGGTAGAGCAAGTCCATCAGAGGGAAGGTGGCAGCCTACAGCTTTGGAGCAGACTACACTACTCTGTCTAGCTGCTTCTTGTCCTGGACAGATGTGTTGCCATACCACACAGTGATGGAGAAGGTCAAAACACTCATTGCTAACTATGACACTCCAAACATTTTTAACTGTCTCAGAAAGAACAGCCTCTCGTGAGCTTTCTTGACCACAGTGTCTGTTGCTCTCCCATTTTAGAGTGTTGGAGATGGTTGTGCCCAGGAACTTAAAATTCACCACCTCAACAAACTGACCAGCAGTGAGAGTGCTCCCTTACCATGAATGGGTGTTTAGAAATGATCCTTGCATATGCAGTAGAACCTGTACTAAAATACTTCCACACGTGGCACAGTGGCTATTTCTGATAAAGGTTAACCCTGCCTTTCAATTATTCCTGAAATGTCACATTCAACATCTGTCTGTATCTCTGCAAAGACTAGATTTAGAATATACTCAGGTCAGGAATAAATTTAGGACAGGCCCTACAAGGTTCACATAATCCTATGATGTTGTTTCATGTAGAAAAAGAACAGTTCTCAGTTTTATTCAGTAAAATCACATTTAATGTTTCTTTCACTCAAAGAAGCTATAGTGCAACTGGAATAAACAATAAAAGGGTCGATCCTCTGCTTGAATCTTATCAGCTATAATGGACTCCATCCATGTTCCACAGTCACTTTATCTGTTGAAGGCCATGGAGGCACATAAAAATTGTGCCACTTACTGTTTGGGCAAAGGTATCCCAGAGCTACGTGGGGATGAGGTGCCAGTGGATCATCCCTCTAGTTGACTGGACTGCCTGCTAGACCCAACAGTAAGAGATGAAGCTGTGATTAAAAAAACAAAGCATCAGTGTGAACAGCAACCGATAAAATCCAGAATGGACCACTTACAGATACAGAGTGCAAACATTCTCAGCAAAATTAAAGCTATATGCTCCCAACAAAATGTAAAAAAAGATTAGACAGCACAGTCTTTTAACTATATTTGTGAAATGCTATAAATAATGAAAGTTTAATCTGAAACTCATTCACTACCATCCTGTACCACGCACACCTAGTCAAGGAATTGTTGTGATGTGAAAGTTATTGAATCAGTACTAATTTTATACCCATTAGCAATGAACTGGAGATAAGATATATACTAGAGGACACACTTTGAATTTGTGTAATAAGATGTCATTAAAAACAAAAATAGATTCTTTAAATTATGAAAATAATAGGAATTGTTACACACAAACTACCCCTTTGCTCCTCTGGCTTACTAGACATTCATTTGCTTAATTTGGGCATAGAAATGAAGAATCAAGGGCTGAAGGTACATTGAACATTACACAAGGATTGATTTTCCTACAATTGCCACTGAATAAACAAGAAATGTTTCCTTAACTCGGGAGCTTCACAATATTTCTTCAGCCACAATAGACGCTATCATTAGAACATTGGTATCTAGTTCTGAAGCCCAAATTCATTTGATTTTAGTGATTTTTAAATATTGAAAAATCCCTGAACATCTTGAAAAAAAGCCAAGAATTGTGTTATAAATTGTATAAAAAAGTGAACTTGGTTAAAATAAAATGCAAAATACTGTACTGCTCATATGACCCAGGGATGTATGGGTGAGAAGCTGTAACAAGTCAGAAATTTCACATTGCCAATGTACATATTTAGATTTGAGTAAGAGGTGAAATATAAATGCTATTGTTAAATCTGCTTCTATTGGGCATTGCAAAAAGGCCTGTCTATAACCAATATTATAGAAGAAAATATTTATTAACTTATTCATTTAAACAACTCTAAATCTAAATGCTGTGCTAGACATTTAATCAAGTGACTGATATGTTGCTATGGAAGTGGAGCTCTGACCATTTTATAAATCCTATACATTATAAAGATGAGGAACATCTGATAAAGCTTTCTTTAGGTGTGGGGGAGAGAGGAAAACCAGCAGTTGATAAAGCACAGGAGAACAAAAGGAGTATTGACACTCAGGTGGTATGAAGTCGAGAGAGGTGAAGAGAGGTGGGAAGTCAAAACCTGCAATTGAATACAGGGGATTAGAAGGAAATGAATCTGTATTTGAGAGAAAGGGAAAGGTGTGATCCTAGTTTCAGGATAATTTTGGTTCTGGATGTCTTCCTGCATTCTGAAACCCCTCTGTGAGGATGCAGATGGGAAGATCAGTATAATCATGGCTATTAGAGGTGAAATGTGAAACTGTGGGTTTGGAGAGATCTTTGATTCTCAAAGCCCCTGAAACTGTCTCCCAGTCTCCTTCCTGTCTCACCAATGTAAATTGCTTGGCATGTTCAGCAAGAGATGCAAAAAAAAAAAGACGCTGGAAATACTAGATGTCATCTGAATGATAAGGAAACATACAGAGGGGCCTTGAATGTCCGTGGAATTGGATATATATTTATAGGTGATGCAGTGAGTCCTGTTGCAAGGGAAAGTGCCTGGCATGGATAACTGCTGTGGGTGGTCAAAGAAGCTGTGAACAAGAAGACTACGCAGTTTAGGTGGTCGGTGATATGAGATGATGGGGCAGTCAGAAAAGAGGATACCAGTGGAGGGATCATCTTGTAAGATAGGGAATTATAAAGATAAATTATAAAGTCGACCACAAAACACTGTATTTGCATTAAACATAATTTCACACATCAAGATGAAAATAATTTTAATACAATTTATTTTTACATATCAGTCATGGTTAAATTAGGAAACTTTAGTCTCATCATCATGCAATGACTATGCCTTCAAAAGTGCTGATGATAACTGCTCTATGCAGTTAAAAAAACATTTCTATTCTGACTGGTCATGTTTCAACGGTCATTTTTCAGCTGCCAATAAGCACAGAAAAATGACTGGTACTTCATAAGTGGTCTAAAAATCTACTAGGGACGTTAGGGACGTTTTCACATCAGTGTAATTAACATTCACGTGGCTTAAGGATGAATAAAGCAGAAACATCCTATTCTGGTCAGCAAGATAGTAAATGTCTTTGGATGGGTAATGCAAAGCAGTATAGACTCCTGGGAGAGAAACTGTCTCGTCTTCTCAGTCTGTATCCTCCTTCTCTAGAAAGTCAGTCAGGGTTCCAGTGTCGATGGAAATGATCAGGTATTCTACGCCATCCACACCCTGAAGAAAATAATACATTACATCAGTCTGTCAATACAAGTTTCATTGGGAGATATTTTTCTAGGCAGATCTGAGTTAATCAAGTTTAGATGACAGTTTAAAATAGGGGTCTCCAACACTGGTCCTGCAGAGCCCCAGTCCAGATAGAATTACACATAACTATGAAATTATGAATTTCAGAAAATTTTGAACAATTTGTTTGATCAATTAAATAGGTGATTCAATAAATTTATAAATTTGGAGGTAATTTGTAACAAAAATCACAATTTCATTTACCTTTAAAAGAATTCCATTTGTATTCCATTAAGATAAGATAGCTTTATTGGCCATTTACAATTTTTTGCATTAGGAATTTGTCTTTTCACATACCCCAGCTCAGTGATGTCTGGACAGCTATGAGACTTTCTCCTTTGAAACCCATACAGCAGTACACACATTTATCCGAGTCTGGCCTCAATAGGTAATTTAAGCACTAAGCACGAATATACCACTCAATTATTTCAAAACTGGCACAGTAATTCTAAGACAAGATCACTTTATTGGCCATATACAATTTCTTGCATTAGGAATTTGTCTTTTCACATACCACAGCTTGCTCTATATGAGACACAAAGACAGGGAGAGAAGCTTGGGGTCAGAGCGCAGGGTCAGTCATTGTAGAGCACCCCTGGAGGAGCTGGGGTTAAGGGTCTTGCTCAGGAACCCAACAGAGAAGGATTCCTCTGCTGGCCAATCGTCTTCCACAGTATCGAACCACCAACTCCCAAAAGTAAATTACTGCTCCCTGGCCTTCTTACCTACTCTGTTCTCTCCTCTCCTACTCCTTATTTCTTTGCAACTTTCCCTTTCTCCCTCACACCTGAAGAAGGCTTCACAGCCAAAACATTGTGTTTTTTTTCTTAACCATTCCTTTTAGCATAGAATGAACCTTTACCTGCTCCTTTGAAGCCTAACCCTACTGGAAGCTCATAAAGCTCATTTGTGAAAACAATGTCAGATCTTAAAGTTGTTTTGCTTTGAAAACTGTAGTGCAAAGTGTTTTATAAGACTCTATGGAATTAGGGCACAGCAGCGTTACACTGGCACAATTCTCATTGATGGCCCACACATTTAGCAAGTAGCAAGATAGAGACTGTTAGTCAATTCAAACATAGGAGGAGTCCAACGTGCAGTGTTCCTTTTGAATTGCCTTTGCTTGTTACCCCATGGTTCTGCTTAGCATCAGAAATACAAAGTAGCAAATTATACTTAGGTATAAGTGTACAGTTAATATAACTGATAACTGATACATTTTCCAGAAATACATTTTTAGAGCTTTTGAACAATCCCTAGTCTGAGTTAAAGTTTCACTTAATAAAATTCAAAATAAACTTGAATGGTGGGGGTAGGAATTGCACTTGTGCATATTACAGTATGTATTGTAATCAGTGTTGCAGGTCAGTACAATAGGCAAAGCAGTCAATGCAGTAGACAGCTCAGTAGAATCTCTCTCACCTTCTTGGTCCTGATGAGCTTGTGGTCCTTGAACTCTGTCAACTGCGTCCTCAGTGTGATATCACTATTCACCAGGAAAGCCTCACGACAGCGCTGGTAGAAATCTTGGAAGGAAAGGCCTAGACCCCCCATATACACAGGACAAAAGGAAAGTTTTAAAGGAAAGTTATAACATGGTACATCCAATTTCTCAGGCCATGGTATTCTTGTAAAATATATCTATATAATTTAGCATGGATATCCATTATCGCATGCAACACCAGTAAAATTTTCTAAAAATTCTTTTAAAGTATTTTAAAAAAAGTTTTTTCATTAGCAAAAACAGGAACATTTTTGACCCTGACAGAATGTCGATGCCATTTAATTACAGCTCAGTTTGTTTATGAAAATTGGAACACAAATCACGTCACGGTGGTGTCTGATTTCCTTGGCTCTTCTTCAAGCTTACTGATGAGGCCAAACTGTAGATGTTCTGTTTCAATAGTTTATCAAAGGAAAAGTAGATCTGGCTTCACAACATTTTGTACAAAATAAGCAGTGGATAAATCTGAATTCATTAGTAACATAACTGCACAAGTCTGGACCTAGGGGACTGCAAGCACTTTTCAGTGCTCAGCTGAGCCAACTGAATTTCTATCCGTAGTGGTTTCACACTATGTTAAGGTGTGAAGCAGTAACAGATTTAAATAAATGTTTCAGGCACAAAAGACCTGGCCTAGAGGACTGTGCAGTGCTAATAATATTTTCTAACAGAATCGTACCTGTGTATGAGGGGTTGTCTTTGTTTTCTAGCTGAAACTCAGCCAACAGTCTGAAGATCCCTCTAGAAGCAATTAGAAAGACCAGTGAACTTAGAAGGCCATAAATAAACCACAAGGGACTGCAAAGATTTACATGGACTTAAATTACATAAAATGAAGTACACTAGGAAGCTGCATAAGTAAAAGAAAGTTAAAAAACATTTCAGTATGAAAGGGCCAATTATATTATATACCTATATTGTATCTGTATTCTGATTAGCTCACCCAATATCAAGTAGTTACTTGCCATTGTATTATATGGTCTAAAACAAAAAAATAACTGAGAAAGTACGTAAAATACTGAATAATTATCTTAAAAACAATATAACAAACTGTTTTAGGTTTTGTTATTTTTAGTTTTGTAAAAAAGATCTGTTGCTGAATGTTTGTCACATTCACCTTAATGTCGTAATTGAACAAAATAAGAATTACTGAACAAATCACCAAGATAATTTGCCGAGACTTGATTTTGGGGGTTAAAACACTGAGCAGTTTATCATGTGGTTAAGTTCACAGTGCGCAATGAAAGTGGTGACCGTTCCACGCATGAGAAGGGAGGCCTGGCATGGTCAGTGTGATAGTAAAGGAATTCCTTGTTGTGGGTGTGATGGGGACGCTGCAGTGAAAGTGGTACGACCTGTCGGTAGGGGCTTGATGCACCAGTGAGGACCATTACCTGGCATTGGGTGTCAGGCTGCGCATGACATGGGTCAAGGAGCTGAGAGCAATGGCTCCAGACTGCTGCACCAGCAGAGAGTTCTCATAAGAGGTCTCCTCCACATAGGGCAGGTAGGTGGTAGTCTCATACCACAGCCAGTTAAAAAGGCTCATTTTCGACTGGTCCCATACTGTGGGAAAAAAAAGGACACCATGACCATGACAAAACCTACAAATAATTTAGCGAGGGGTCTTGAAGAAGTGATTAACAGCTCTTAACACAGGAAAGTGAAAGAAAATTGATCTGCAAGCAAGATAGGAAAGTAATAACACATACAGTTCTTGTTTTTAGGTTGTATATGTTGGTCCATCAGATCTGTTGCTTTTTGAGATAGTTCTTCACATTTTAAATGCCTCGCTAACTTGCTGCTCCCTGCATACACAACTCTGTACAGCATTCTCAAACGTATGTGTGAGAAATGTTGCTTTGACATACCACAGAGAAGTTGTTAAACACAGTCCCATTTCCTCACAATTTACATTTTACTAATGGGTAATTTGAAACTGTCTATTGCGCAACACCAGTTTAGAAAAAACTGGAATATCCATTATTATCCAAAACAAGGACCATACAGTCCCAGGAGCTTAACTCATCAAAGTCAACATTTGACAGACTAGGAGTCCCAAGCAGCCTGTCAGGAGAACTGGTACGTTGAGCACAAATTTACCTGGCAAACCTCACAGGAGGGTCCTAGCAAACTGACACTCAATCAGCTAATTCTCCCCCCTGTGCTCCAGGTAAGCACTTTTACTAACTGAAACACACTTTGGAATGTCTCTTACATTTCACATTGAGGAATTCAAAGAAATGAACAACAGTAAAGTCGTACAAAAATACATGAGGATGCAACTGCATCCTTTAAAGGTTTTAATCAAATTTTACTTTTATTAAGCGATCAACATAGTACATTAATCACAAATAGAACATTTCTATGAAATCATATACAAGGTTATGCAACTAAATGAAAATGAGCAATAACAATACAGTCAATCTAACTGAATTTGACACATGCTGACTTACTGAGGGGTGCATTAATGTGGTCGATGGAAGCAATGAGGTGCAGGTTGGGAATGGCTGCCAGCTGTGCCAGAGTTTGCTGCGTCTTCTCTCCTCTCAGCATCAGGCCATCAATGTTGTGGATAATCAAGTAGAGATGAAAATCAACCTCTAGGGAAAACAACATTGATCAATGCTAAACCTCATGGCTGCATCAACAAGCTGATCAGGTGACAAGTGTTTAAACTTTTAAAATGAGTACAGTAGTCAACAAGACAGCTGTATTAGAAGGTGTAGTGTTAATATCCAACATCTTAAGCTTTACCAATATATGACATTTGACATTTTTTGTATGCCTTGTAACACTCTTAGTAACACTGATATTTAAACATGCTCATGCTACCCCTCCTATTAACATTTTGAGCCAACGCGAATTTAACGACAGTTTTTGCATGTCTGCAAGCACATTTAGTATAAAAATCTTGTTTTAAAGTTTTACTGTCCTCATAACTATTAGCACAGTTTGTCATGGTTTCACCTCCTTTATACTTTTCAACAGATTCTGCACAGATAGGATTGGCCTGGACTTGTTTCTGAAGTCTAAAGTTATTAAATCCACTCATCAGAGTACATTTTAGACCATAAAGGTAGAAAGTTTCCTTGAGAGTTCAGATGTTCTGAATCACAAATCAGTGTTCTTCTAAGTTTACATTAAGGTAATACACAAAACAGATCAACTATTACAATCATATCCTCCTCATATGATAGATGGCCCAAAATACCTTTGCATATACCTTCCTTCCCTTCCTTCAGGGCTTTAACAATGAAGTCTGTCTGGGCCAGTGGCGTGCGGAAGCTGCCTTGATAACCTAAAACATCCTCAGTGATAGAATTCAGAATCTGCCAGAAGGATCATGAAAAAAAATGACAAAAAAGGAATGTGTGGGATCAATAAGTGCACTAGACTCAAAGGACTAGTTTTGTTTTCACTGTACTTTTTATGTGCATCAGTTCTAAAAAAACAGACACCATCATAATTTAGAAAAAAATGCTTTGAACTACACACCAAATGGAAAAAACAGTCCTAGACAAAATCATAAAAAAGTCAAATTAATTTTCAATTTGTCCTTTTGCAATTGTCAAAAACATTTTGAGCTATCAGTACTTTCAATTTGTTAGCAATACTGCCAAGTAGGAAAATCAAGAAGTTCACCGATTTGAGGGTGATGCTGGGAAAGAAACCATTGATGACAAGATGAACAGAGTTCATCAACATGCAGGTGCGAAACTTCTCCAGCAAAGCCTTCTTGGAACCCAGGCCATATAGGACAATGCTGAAGCCCAACCTACCAAGAGCAAGAATTAAGATAAGAATACAGATCTAGCCATAGAGAATTCACAATGAATAATGCAGCTGAATGCGGTGTACATACCATACCGAACCACGCTTTTAAAAAAAATCTGCTTTGTAAAACTGCCATTAAGTGAATGCTTAATGTGGCGTGTGGAAGCATTTGGGCTGATCCGAAAGCACCAAATTAAAAAAACAGGTTTCTAATTCCGGTCAATATGGAGCTCCGTAGTCTTCTTTTTTAAATTATAGAATTTAAGTTGTATACCATTTAGACTTTTATTAATTTTATACTGTATATTACAGCTGGTTAAATATTAATTTATAAAGTTGCAGTGTGGTGGCTCTGTGGCTAAGGATCTGCACTTTTGGCTGGAAGGTTGCCGGTTCAAATCCTGCACCCAGCAAAGGAATCCTACTCCGTTGGGCCCCTGAGCAACCCCTTCAGGGGTACTGTATAAATGGCTGACCCTGCGCTCTGACCCCAAGCTTCCCTCCCTTTCTGTGTGTCTCATGGAGAGCAAGTTGGGGTATGTGAAAGAAATTCCTAATACAAGAAATTGTATATGGCCAATAAAATGCTCTCCCTTATCTGATAAAATAGGGCTATTTCACAAGAACAAAATTACTCAGTCTGATATGTAAAAATAGTTTGTGAACTGTGAAATAGTTTGTTGTGAACTCAATGTGCCTCTTTCAGGTTTACATCCACATTAAGATAATGTATATTTTGTCTCAAAACAAATTTCAGCAACAAATCACCATGAAACAATTTTACTTTAAATTTTGAGTATGAAAAATATATTTCACACATACGGTACTGGCTTTAAAACCATACAGTATCATACTGTACTTACTGAATATACTGTATATTTATACAGTTTATGATCATAAACTTGTACAATATTATTTCGGCATATTTGTGGATATGAATTCATGTGATTTGCGTGAATGGCACATTGGGAATTGTAGTCTTTGTTCACATATTTGATTCACATGGCCAACAATTTAAAAGTACAGTACACACTATGAATGAAATATGTTCCATTTTAAACAGACCATACTATCACATGATGGTTAATTGATGGTATTGTAGCTTTTTTGTCATTGAGCAGAAAGTTACTGTGCTCTCGGCTGTGCTAGCAAATGAGTTTCTGTTAACAAGTTTACAACTGTTCAACCCCCTTCCCAGGGAAACTTGACAGTTCTGATACCTCTGTGATATTCGATCTAACCTTAAGGTCAGTTTCTTTGAATGTTTTGTAAAGCAAAATCTTAAAGACCCATGTGTTAGCTTAAAACTTAAACTCCGATATCCTGACTTAGTTAACTTTCTATTTGTCTCATTTAGTTGGAACAGAAAAAGAAGATGTTCTTTCTGTAGTTAATCTTGTTGGAATTCGATTTATTTTAATACCACCAACATCAACACAGGAGCAGGACTTGTGGCTGTTACGGTTCACAGCCTCTCATTAACTTGCAAATGTGCTGAACTCTCTGACACTGCACCGTTTAAAAAGGATATAACATCTTTCTCAGTCTGTCCAGGGGCTGAAGGTTGGGTCTGAAGTTAATATAACCCTTCATCAATTTAACATCTGATAAGTCCCCAGTACTGCTATGATCATGAATGTAAAATGAATATTTAACATACTGTGATACATAGAATTAATAAAAACATCATATATATATATAAACAGTTGCAAGACCTCGTTTGTGAATCCTTTGGAATTACCTGGATTTCTGCATTAATTACTCATAAAAATGTGCTCTGATCTTCAACTAAGTCACAATAATAGACAAACACAATCTTCTTAAACTAATAACATACAAAAAATTGTACTTCTTCCAATGCACCAATCAATGAGATGAGATGAGATGAGATTGGAGGTGTGGGTAGGAGGTGCCCTGCCCTGAATCTCTATAAAAAAGGCACACAAAGGTTGCTTACTGACAGAGTCTGGTCTTCTCAAGAAAGATCTGTTCATGTGAACCACGCCCCGATCAAAAGAAATATCAGAGGACCTTGGAAGAAGAATTGTTGAGATGTATAAAGCTGGAAAAGGCTACAAAAGCATTTCTAAAGGCCTGGATGTTCATCAATCCACAGTAAGACAAATTGTCTACAAATGGAGGAAATTCAGTTGTGTTGCTCCTCTCCCTAGGAGTGGACGTCCTGTAAAGATCACGGCAAGAGCGCAGCCTGCAATGCTGAAGGAGGTGAAAAAGAAACCTAGGGTAACAGCAAAGGACCTGCAGAAATCTCTTGAACTTGCCAAAGTCTCTGCTCACATGTCCACTATAAGAAAAATACTGAACAAGAATGGTGTAAATGGAAGGACACCACGGAGGAAACCACTGCTCTCCAAAAAAATATTGCTGCTTGTCTCAAGTTTGCAAAATACCACCTGGATGTTCCACAATGTTTCTGGTACATGGTTCTGTGTACGGGTGAGAAAAGTTTAACTCTTTGGCAGAAAAGCGCAATACTGTTTGGAGGAAAAAAAACACTGCACACCAACACCAAACCTCATCCCAACCTTGAAGTATGGTGGAGGGAGCATCATGGTTTGGGGCTGCTTTGCTGCCTCAGGGCCTGGACAGCTTGCTATCATAGAGGGAACAATGAATTCAAAATTGTATCAAGAAATCTTACAGGAGAATGTCAGGGTAGCAGTCCGTCACATGAAGCTTAATAGAAGTTGGATGATGCAACAAGACAATGACCCGAAACACAGTAGTAAATCAACAACAGAATGGCTTAAACAGAAGAAAATTTGTGTTCTGGAATGGCCAAGTCAGAGTCCAGACCTCAACCCAATTGAGATGCTGTGGCCGGAACCTGAAGAGAGCTGTTCACACGAGGAATCCCAGAAATATCAATAAACTGAAAAAGTTTTGTAAGGAGGAATGGTCTAAAATTCCTCCTAAACATTGTGCAAGTCTCATCAACATCTACAGGACATGTTTGGTGGAGGTTATTGCTGCTAAAGGAGGTTCTACCAGTTACTAAATACAAGGGTTCACATACTTTTTCCAGCCTGGACTGTGAATGTTTAAACATTGTGCTCAATATTCAATTGTTTGTGTGTTATTAGTTTAACCTGATTGTGTTTGTCTATTATTGTGACTTAGTTGAAGGTCAGACCACATTTTTATGAGTAATTAATGCAGAAATCCAGGTAATTCCAAAGGGTTCACAAACTTTCTTGCCACTGGAGCATAATTAATTTATTTCCCTTGCTCTTTCTGAGCATGCTAGAAATGGGAGTCTAAAGGTCATACACATTCTTACTTCATTATTAATCTTATTTTAATATTTGACATACTGTGATATACAAAATTATCAGAAATGTGAGTGTACTTGGACCTTCTGAGTAGCAAGCAAGCACCACTGTACCAAAGCACCAACTGACTTGCAACATGCAACATTAACAGATTACGATGTTTCATTGTCCATTACAACTATAACTACCACAAGAGATATTTTCACCTTCCAAATTTTTTTTAGTTACATGATTATTAATATTAATATTAATAATTCCTATTAAGTGGTATTAAAACAGTAAAACTATTTTACAACAATGACAGCAAGAACAGCATTCTTAGAAAAGGTTAAGTATTATAGCTTTCTATAAAGTATCTACACTTTATATAGTTTGAACAAGCATATCAAAACTTTTCCACAATAACCACAGTAAGTGCCCAAGTTAAAGACTTTGATACAGAAAATGTTGATCAAGGACATGGAAAACCGTTGTTTTATTTTCAGTTACCAAAATTTCCTTTTAGTTGCATATTTCCATATTAATATTCTTGCCTGGTTTATTTTCACTTTTATTGTATTAAGCTCAGATATGTCAAATATTTTTCAGCTTTGAATTAATAAATTCTGCCTTAGGAGTGAATGAGTTTATCTAAAGAGCCCATAGGATAGTAATCTAGTTCACATACTGAAATGTGTAAAAAATGCAACAAATGCTATTAGTTCCAATAATGTTTTGAGGTCTTTAAATGCCTCTCAATGTACAAAAGACACTAATACTGCTAACAGACAGTTTTATAATTATCCCAAACAAGAACAATAGCTGCTTTCACTGAACATAGTATAAACAAGAGTCCAAACAGCCTGTCTTGCTCACTTTGCTTCTAGAACCTAATGCTTCCAAGTTCCACCTTGATACCAGAGACACTTAGGAAAGGGGAAGGATAATTTGGTCCGGATACCCACAATTTGTGTAAAGAAGCATCTTCCAATTTTAGTTGATAATAATCCCTTACACTTATGTAGTGTTTTTCTGGACACTCCACTCAAAATGCTTTATAAATAATGGGGACTCCCCTCCACAACCACCACTGTGCAGCATCCACCTGGATGATGCGACAGCAGCCATAGTGTGCCAGTAAGCTCCCCACACATCAGCTATCAGTGAAGAGGAGAACAGAGTGATGAAGCTAATTCATAGAAGAGGACTATTAGGTCATGATTGGTAAGGGCCAATGGGAATTTGGCCAGAACGCCGGGGTAACACCCCTACTCTTTTCAAGAAAATGGTGCCTTTTCACAGTATAGTGTCATACTGGGGCATTAGGATCCACACAGACCATAGGATGAGCACCCCCTACTGGCCCCTCTAATACCTCTTCCAGTAGCAATCTTAATTTTTCTCAGATCTCCCATCCAGGTGCTGACCAGGCTCACACCTGCTTAGCATCAGTGGATTGCCAGTTGTGAGTTGCAGGGTGATATGGCTGCCGGCTAGTCTCCGTTCAGGTTCTTTGATAATCTTTTAACGGTATCCTTCAGAAGTTAAAATACTAAAGTATTTTTGGGGTGGAGAATCTATTCATTGGTACTGCTTTGAAATCTTTATTTGAAAGAAGATTCTAGCAAGGTTATAAATGCATTTAAAACGTTAAATAAAGGACAACGCTACCTGAGGTTCATCAGTATGAAATTTAGTTACTGTACATTTTTTATCTAAAAAGAAAAGCCTTGCATCTTAAAATTTTAAAAGACATACTGCAACTGAAGTATCCATTTGCTGAAATGCTTTTCATGCTCCATGTTCAACTGGTTGATCTCATCAGAGAAGTTAAAGGTCTTCCCCTCCAAAAGTCTGCATAATGTTTCCTAAGAATAAGGAAAATGTGAAACTATAAAACTACTTCTTTATATAAATATAAATATAAGAATTTGAAGCAAAGGTAATTTAATAAAATAATTTTTAATTCTGTTACTTCAACATTCAAAAGATACTGACACAGATATTTACACAGGTAAAGATCAAGTGATGAAATGTTTTAGAACTCTCCTAAATGTTTCTGAAATATATTCAAAGGGGGGTTTCAAAGTTTTTTGCTCCAAAAGGTCATAATGTACTGATTAAAAAAGAATGATGATGCAAATATAATAAAGCTAGGTACTGTGAAGGAGTTCAGGTGGGCAGCTAGATCAGCATGCCTAGGTTGCAAAGGAACAGCCTCACACCTGAAGAAGGCTCCACAGCTGAATGTGACGTTTACTTCTCTTTTCAGCATGGAATAAACTATAACTTGTTCCTAGGTACTGTAAATATGAGGAAAACAAATAAGTTTTTCACTGGAATTATTTGGATTTGAAAAAATACTATTTTGGAGAGGCAAAAGTGGATAAAAGTTTCCACTACAATGCACTTTGAAAGTTTCTCTTCAGTATTTTTTGTGGACAACTGCTAAAAGAAGCAAGCACCACAAAACAACTGTCCAAAGAACCGATCTTTAAAGAATCCTATTTTCTTTAAAGAATAAAGCAATCAGAATCAAACATTACACAATAAAAGTAATAAAACAAACCTGGTCTAATTTGGGCGTTTGCAGTTTCTGGAGGGTTCTATCAGAAGTTAACACCTTTGAACTGCTGTGTGCTTCAAAGTACTCTTCTACCAGGTTGGGCTGAAAACATGAAACACCCTAATTAACATCATCACCTTAATTTCAAGTACAGAAAATAAACAGTCATACAAAAACTGATGAAGAAAAATGTAGATTCACTTCAAGGAAGTAACATGTGGTGAAGTCAGTGGGTGGGTAGGCACTAGCTATTCTCACACCCCAATTTACATTACATAGGCTCATAGCTGTGAGCATTATAATTAGATACACTGTTAAGAACTAGACTGTAATTGATGCAGGTAATGAAAAATGCCTGTGTATTTCCAACTGATAGATTTCAAACCCTACTTAATTTTCATTCTGATCTCACTGTCAAAATTGTTCAAGTTCAAGTTTATTGTCATTACACTCATATACATGGTATATGGTATAACGAAATGCTATTTAGCTAGCTCTCGGACATAAGTAGTACAAAGAGAAAAAAAACACAACAACAACAATACAATTGTGCAGCAAAAGAAAGACAGAGACAACAGGCAGTGTGCAAAAAACAACAACAGGTAATGTGCAAAACACAAAAAAAGTAACAGGTTATGTGCAAAAATATGCATCAACAGAATAAAATAAAGGGATAGAAATTATGGGGAGTGAGCTTTTGACATGTATGGTAGAGGTAGATTTTCAATGTGTGTTTGGGTTTTTGGTAAGAAAGAAAGAAAGAAAGAAAGGAAGAAGGCACTGTGAGGTTACTTTTCCTGATGGTTAACATCAGGAAAAGAATACACTGTACAGTGTGTACACTGATGTAATTTATATTAGTATTTGGAAATACATTTCCAAATATACAATTGATATATGTTTTGATTCTTTAATTATTTGCTCACCAATACCAATAATTAAAAATGTAAAAAAAACATTTTATTGTACATGTATATCTTCAATATCACTTGAAAATGTAGTTTTGAAAAGTCATTTTTAAGTCTCCAAGTTGCTAACATCTTGTTGTAACACAACTTTGGTTACACAACCTAGGTGTTCAACACTTTTTTAATACTATGGTATAGGGAAGCCAAGATCTTGGTTAATCAAGAGTTTGAAGTGACAACATCCTCCACTGTTTCTAAAGAAGAGATATTTACTTGAGCTTTAAAACACTTGTACACTGCTTTCATCTAGTATCCAGAACCTACTCAGCTCAACTCCTGAAGGACCCAGTGCCTTCTGGTTCTTAGCCTAACCACAGATTAACTAGTTTCTTAGACATACAGTATATAGGATTTTTCTTAAGGTCTTTTATAGTTCATTGCTCTGTATCACAATAACAATTAGGAAGTTAATTAAATAATTAAACCAACTATGTAACAAAGAGCTTGGGTAGAAAAGAAAAACAGAAGACAAATGGTATTCCAGAGATTGAGAAACCCTGGCCTATAAACATCATCAGTGACATTTGCAGTATAAGCATCATCACTACCTATGAAAAAGTATTTTGTGATGTTGAACAACGTCCAGCACAGGACAATTATTTTTAGTTGCTGTACATACTGTGATTCGAATTGCACAATTAGATAGGAATCTCTAAATAACTTACTTCAGGTCCTTTTTTATTTTTCTTGGCTGGTGTCTTGTGGAGAGCTGCTGCCAATGCCTTCCTTGGTGTCTTTGGCTCCATATCCACATTATCAGACTTTTCTATCCTCTCTTCTTCATCATCTTCTTCAGAATTTGAGGGGGAGTACTCACTGTCACTGTCCGACTTCAAATTGGGTGCTGATGAGACAGAATGGTGCTCGCTGGTTTTCTCATTTCTTAATTCACTATTATGAAAAATAAACAAACATTTAACATACCTGACAGGCGCTTTCGCAGTCTGTGTGGAGTGGTTGAGATAAACCGCACATTTTTACCCTAAAAAAAGAGTACATGTTAAAACATTCTTTTAATTGCAATGCACTTACTACTGTGTCATTTGTTTCTTAAAATCTTGATTCAACTTACCTTTGATGGGGTCTTGTTTTGATTTTCATGTTCTGAAAACATAAAATGACTTTTAGAAGAATTACCAAAAGAGTTTCCATTAACTTGTGGTACTCAATGCGTCATAAGTTTGAAATTTTGAATGCACATTCAACCAATTTTCCTCAAACTGGCAAGCTAACTTGAAAATGGCATCTTTTATTTATTGGATTTCATTCACTGTTCACTCTCTACTAGTTAAACCTTTCAAGAACAATATCCTCCATAAAACTGGCATTTCAGACTTTGAAAAAGTAACAAAACTACAGAACGTGGGTTTTTAAAATATAAAATATAACTACTAAGATAAATTGTTCTTTTCTTCATTAGGAAGAAATGGTTCAGAAACAGAAAAGGGGATACACCTCAAAATAGTTCCCATCTTAATCGAAAAAATCGCAATAAAGGGGCAATTGTAATTTAATTGTATTTAATATATAATTGTAAAAAAGTCTCACTTGTGCTTGTCCTGGAAGGGCTAATGACCTCTTCAGGGGAGTCTGGTGTGGTGAATTTAACACTCTTCCCAGGTGTTCGAGCCAATTCCGAGGCTGGGAATACAGTGAAACCAATTACAGCATAACAAACCTCACTAAGTCCCAATTAGTCACCATCTTCATTCTGTTTTGACATTAAATAATGAATCAGAACATATGTATTCATACACCAAGAACATGGGAAAAAGAAAAAGCGGCGGTAAAGACAAGCGACAAGTTCATGAAATATTCAGAGGGCTCTGAAAGATAGTGAAATTACTCTTTAAATTTCAGGTAACATGCAGCCATAATATGTTGCTTTGTACCATTGTAACAAAACATCTGTTGATTTAACTTGTACACTTTTAACTACGCATCTTAAGATTTTTTTTAATACTTCCCCATAGTCGAAAAGGTGAAAAAGATGCTTAAATTAACAAGTGTTTTGCATAAAACTTGTCTTCAACAAATCTTAGCACAAATTAGCATTTGCCCCCTAAAAACTATACAAGAATCATGGTCATAGATATAAATTAGAAAAGGTAATAGTCCTAAATCTGATTCATGTGGTACTCAACTAATTGCATTACAATTTGATTGTGATCTTTTCTTTAATGTTTTTATCGATTTTAACCTGTTAGTTCTCAATCTTAACATACACGATATCTTAAATTGGCCAGCAATTCAGAGTTCTGTCAAGTTTTGCTTATGCAGTTTTTGTACAGCTGGAAACACTAATTCTGAGACTGTTTTAATAGTTAATACTATATACCTATTCCCTTACTAATTTTGGTCTTTTTTAAAAATTCAAAATACGCGTGCTGCGCATCCATATAAAAGTTACGCCACTTGTTGGCCTTACATTTGTTAATTAATATTTAGCCTGGTTTTATGTTGGACAGTGCAAGATATACACAGAAGGAAAGCCCTTGCACTCTCTCTTGCTCAGGAGAAAGAGGTATTAGCTTCACCTTTTCAAACAACTAAGTAAAGGACATTTTTTAGCATCTGGTTACTGAACTGCACCTAGATAACGAATCAATTGGCTACGTCTGCATGAGTGCAGGGCATAGAGATCACCACCTATTTTTGATCAATGCAGAGCGTAACATCACTTTAATTAGCCCTATACAATTTCTTGCATTAAGAATTTGTCTTTTCGCATAACCCAGCTTGCTCTCCATGAGACACAGACAGACAGGGAGAGAAGCTTGGGGTCAGAGTACAGGGTCAGCCATTGTACAGTGCTCCTGGAGCAGCTGGCCATATACAATTTCTTGTATTAGGAATTTCTTTCACATACCCCAACTTGCTCTCCATGAGACACACAGAAAGGGAGGGAAGCTTGGGGTCAGAGCGCAGGATTTATACCATTTATACAGTACCCCTGAAGGGGTTGCTCAGGGGCCCAACGGAGTAGGATGCCTCTGCCGGCTACAGGATTTGAACCAGGAACCTTCCAGCAACAGGTGCAGATCCTTAGCCACAGAGCCAACTAAGAATCAGCTATAGGGACCAAACAAAAGCTTGACATCACATTGATAATATAATAGCAAGCTTTTGTGAGGTCCCTAAATTTCCTATATTTGCCACATTTATAATAAAAAATAATCTGTTTTTGTTGTATAAAAACCACAATGAGATCAAAAAGAAGTTTGATTTCTTTTAATTAATAGAAAATTAGCAAACCACAAAACCAAACTGCTAGAAAATACAGTATTTACAAAAGTAGAAATGCACAGAAAGCAGAAAAGTAAAAAAATAAATGTTAGGAGTAGAGTGCAAAATTATCTGGCTTCTCACAGCTTGTGTTCAGTCGCTTTAAGTGCCCTGGGCACTTGGTTTCTGGATAGCCAAAGGGAGATGTTGCACAGGGCAAAAGTTTTGGCAAGAAGGATGTAACTGCTGACTGTGCCTGTCAGTTTGACTGTGATCTTGTGTAGGGGGAGGTTGACGTTGTTCCTGCTCCAAATCATCCAATAAACTGAGAATTCTTATTTTGGCCTGTGTCAGGCTTCTGGGATTTAATCTTGCTAAGACAGGCACAAGACTGAGGGCAAAGTGATACATTTCATCCTGTGGCCCAGGAACTGGTTGTGCAGATAGTGTATTATCACTTATAATGCTGAGGAGCTTCTCCAACCCTGCGCTACTACTTCTTTTTTTCCTCCCTTCTGCTCCTGCAGGGGAAAGTGAGATGGAAACACTGGACCTCAAAGCCTGTCCAGAGTGTTCAGGTGGTGGGGTTGCTGCTCTGGACCTCAAAGCCTGTTCAGTGTGTTCAGCTGGTGGGGATGCTGCTCTTGGCCTCAAAGCCTGTCCAGAATGTTCAGGTGGTGGGGATGCTGCTCCTGGCCTCAAAGCCTGTCCAGAGTGTTCAGGTGGTGGGGTTGTTGCTCTGGACCTCAAAGCCTGTCCAGGTTCTTCGGGGCGTGGGATAGGAGCTCCAGGCTTAATGCTCTGTCCTGGTACCCCAGGAAGTGAAGTGCCTAAAGTGGATCTGGTCTTTTGTTCAGGTCCCTTAGGCTGCGGGGATGGAGACCTGCCTCTTATTGCAAAACATAAGTCCTCCTCCACATTTTCATCATCCACAGCTTGGCTAAGATTCACTGGGTTGGGCAGAGGGTTCTCAACATCCAAAGTGCTCTTTGAGCTAGAATATTACCAAAACATAATTCTATTAATTATTTTCTCACATAACTACATACAATTGTTTTTACAAAATAAAGTTAATCAGAAGATAATAATGAATGGACATTTTCACAAATCCTTAAACTATTTAAAATTTAATCTTAAATATTGTATACTAACCTTCTGAATTGAATTTGAGGCATCAAGAAGGACATAACATTTGCATATTTCTGGCTGTTCCCTGCAGATCCTCTAGGTGTATGCTTTTTCTTTTGACATACAAAATCATGACTTAAACATTTCCAGTTTTGCTTGCACTCTTCTGCTGTAAATTAAAATATGAAAATAGTCATGAACACAAAATAAGATTATTTTTTTTCTAAAATTACCAGCCTAGCCTTCATCTATGGACTAGGACATCAAACAGTTGTACATATGAAGTAGTACAAATGAGAGACTGCTGATGGCATAAGTTCCCATGCCAACAAAGGAGAAGTTGAAAGATGTCAGGAAAAATCCAATTTCTCAAACCGCTTCAGGACTACAGATGGCAAATCTCACTATCCAAGCTTCTTCTTCCTCTGGCAGTCAGTATTTTAATGACAATTGTGCTCTTGGTGTTTGTTGATGTTGACCACTGGTTCCGCGTTATTCATATTGGGGACTCTGGAAGAATCAGTAATCAAGGGATGGCTACAAACTCCACTCTTGGGAGGCAGATGAGGCCAAACACTCAGAAAATGCACCTGGAATGGATCCAAGAGAACTTTCAGCATGAAACCATACCTTGCAAGCCCATAATAACAGAATCGTCAATTACAATTCAAGGGTAAGAACAGATGTTGAAAAAGCCTTCAAAAATGGTGTTATGGCCTCAAAATTGAAAAGAATCCATGACAAAAACCCAAGACTTAAACATGAGAACAATTATTGTTCTGTGTGACTACATTCTGCATACGTATCTGCTGACCCCCACTGAAAACCAGAGATGGCTTAATAAGGAGGAAGAGAGTGGTAGCAAAGCAGAAACTGTTAGGAACATGATAGGAAACAGGATCCAGGTAAGTTTTCAATGTGCTGGAGAAATGCAGTGCATTCTTCACCTCCACTCAAGGAAGTGTCCTGATTGGGCAAGATAATATCCACACATACCAAATAAAGACGTGATACCTCAAATTATGCCAATATGGTTCTGTCAACATTTTTAAGATGACTTTTGAAATTGTACATATGTGGCTATGTTTGGAGACCAGCCAACTAGAAGCAATCTTCACCTTCCCAGCAGCCTGTGGACACACTTAGTTAGGGACCCAACTACCTCCAGGTACTTAGATATGGGGTATCAGCAGAGGATCTTTGCCATGCAGTACTCTACAGTGCTCATCTGCATCTTGGTTTGAAATGCTGTGTAGCACTCTGTTGATATGCAACCTAGGAGCTCTTCTCTCTTAATGTGCCCTGTTATAACCTCTCAAGCTTGGGTGCAAAAAACACATGAAAAGGAACATATAAAATCACCTGAAGATATATTCTATTTAATAATTTATTCTATTCAAGTAATGCTGTAATCCTATGAAAATGTAATACAAATAAGGCTATTTTAGGTTTATACTAAATTGTTTCTTTTAACCCAAAAACAAGGCTGACACTGGATATCCTCTCCAGCAATACTTTGTAAAAAATAGCTAAGAAGCTCATTTGAAGTGAAGGATATAGCTGCATTTTCCTACATATATTAAATATTCCTTTTTTTGCAGCGTAGTGCAGTCTTAAAACTGTGAAAACACAATTCATTCAGTTTTACAGCTAAAACTGTCCAAACAAACTTGAAGCTGTAAGTACCAAATGTGCTTAAGCCAAGTATTCCCTATAAACGTTCAATTTAGAGAATTTTGGCAATGGACTAAAATTAACTTAAAAAATGTGTATACATAATTTGTATTTCAACAAAGCACTGTACGTTATCTGGCCAAAATGGTTAAAAATGAATCCCATAGCTTACTTAAATCTTTTTGCAGTCCTGCAATCTAGCAAGTGATATATTACATAAACGGTCACACAACTAATAATAACACAACTATTATTGCTAGTGGTTGAAGGACACATCCAAACTGTTCTTTTCAAAAGTATAGAGAAGCATGTGGGGCATAATAATAAAAATTACAAGACAGTATTTAAAATAATTCTGGTTAGAAATAAAACATCCTTATTTTTTAAAACTTGAAAGGGAACAGGATCTATAGATGGCATAATACCTAATAAGTGCCTTTTAAAGGAAGGAATACTGCTGTAAAATAATTAAAATGTTGTATAAAGCATTTAACTTCACTGACAATACATTTACTACTATAAAGAATACTTAAAGCACCAAATAAGAAAAGGCAGCAGATGTGAATAATAATTCATTATTGACATTTTTGCGCAAAACTGTCAAATTTTTAAACATTTACACAGGTTTTCTTTCACTTCTTATTTTTAGGATTTAGAATGACTCATCATAGACGAAAATATTATACTAAGGATCCATAATTTCCATAGTGACATTCCCTACAGGAAGTGTCTTTAAAGTTGTTTCTGGCTCTGCATATGGTCCGCTTGTGTGTGTTGAAGCTAGGCTAGAAAGTTTCAGTCTATCACACAAGTAACCCTTAGTGCTGCCTGGACAGCTATGAGACTTTCTCCTTTAAAACCCATACAGCAGTACACACATTTATCCGAGTCTGGCCTCAATAGGTAATTTAAGCACTAAGCACGAATATACCACTCAGTTATTTCAAAATGGGCGTAACACAGTAATTCTAAGACAAGATTACTTTATTGGCCATATACAATTTCTTGTCTTTTTTTTTCGTCTTTTCACATACCCCAACTAGCTCTCCAGGATTAACACAGACAGGCAGAGAAGCTTGGGGTCAGAGCGCAGGGTCAGCCATTTATACAGCACCCCTGGAGCAGTTGGGGTTAAGGGCCTTGCTCAGGAGCCCAGCGGAGGAGGATTTTTTCTGCCGGCTATGCGATACGAACCAGCCACAGGTGCAGCTCCTTACTGTCAACTGATAATAGCTTGTGCTGTGAAATGCTGCTATTGCACGTTAACAGAATTGGCAGGCTGTGGGTCCAGATTTCACATGGGGCACTGCCGTTGTACTCTTAAGCAAGGTCACTCAGATTGCTCCTATACAAATGCAAGTTACTTTTGAAGTATGGCAAGACATAGAAAAAGACACCAGATGCCAGCGTTTCCTTGTTTTTGCTGCATTTTTAAGCACAAAGTAAGACTGTATAGAACTACAGATTTATCCAGACCACTACGCTCATGCATGCAATCTACAACTGCAGAACACAGGAAAATAGAAGATATTATGACCTATACATTTCATCTATCATTACAAGTCCTTTTTGTCCTATATAATAGCTATAAGAGCAAATTGCAATTTTCACATATTGGGGGCTCTATGGCTTGGCTTCATAAAACACTTTTCAAGGCCAGCACCTAATAATTTATTTTATTAATCAATAAATCTCATTTACCAGAATTTTAGCATGGTTTCAACATGTCCACAAACATAATGTGAATTATATCAACAGTCCACAAATATTAACGTGAATGATTTGAGACACTTAACATGACATAAAAAAAAGAAAAACAAAATACTAGTTTAGTTCAGAAGTCCTTAAAAACAAAAAAACAAGACAAAGATGTCAATGAGTGCAAAGTGCATTTTGTCAGAACCTTATATAACCCACCCAAATTGCAAAATGTCGGCATACACGTTAGAGCACAAAATTCTTTGGACATCATATAACAAAGAGGAAAACAATGCTGCTGTCAGTGTACATGTGACTCTAAAATGACAGACTGACAAGCAAGCAAGAGAATAGCTTACTGGGAATTCTGAGAACAGACAAAGATCAAGTTGCCACATTGATCAGCTACGATGTACTTCTGTTCCTAAATGGAAAATCATATCCAAGTGAAAAGAAATGTAAAACAAGGAATGGTGTATTTGATGATATGATCAATACTTCCGTTTTCTACCGAGAAATGAGATCACAGGGAGAATGGGTGTTGTCTCTAAGTAAAATAAAAACCATCATTACTGAATACATGTACAGAAGTATTGACACTTTAGTTTAATGCCAGTATTAGAAATAAGAGAGTGATTTTGAGATCTAGTAGAAAAGAGTTTCTAATTATTTCCATTAAATAGAAACATTGAACAAGCCGATATAAATTGCATGTTTTATTTCTGTTCTTAATACAGCCTTGATTGAAATATGAATACTTCAAAATTATATCCTTAATATATTGTACCAAATAAAAAGTATTAAGTTATAAAAAAGTAATTTAAATGTAACAGGACTTCTAGTTTTACTGTTTTAAAAGTGCAAGTCATATGTTCCTCTGAAAGTGAAAAGCTAGCCTTAAAGTGTACAATTAGATTTTCTGTATGTAATTAAATGGCTAATTAAAATGTATTACCCAAAAGGCTAAATATAACAGTTCTACCTGTTTTTTTTTTAATAGCACTGTCTTACACACTGTTAATCAGCTTGTTAAGCCTTTGCTTTATCACATTTAATTCCATTTTACTTTCTGAAAACTTATCCGAGGATCACAAACATGCAAGTTTCATAAAAGACTGTACAAGTGAAAAAGTAGAAGAAATAAGCCTTTAGAATGGACTAATTATCACAAAGAGCAAAAGACATCAGTCTCCCCTTTTACTGATGTTTTCTTGTTTGACTAATTTTTGACCTTCAGTTACAGTTCACATAACAATAGAAAATTACTTTAAATCCTTAATCTGTGTAATCAAATCTACTGAAGCAGACATAGAAGAGCTGGGCTCTTGTCAAATCTGAAATGTATGAAACTGCTAAGAATGTATTTTTTAACATCTGTCATTTTTGGTCTACTTAGAAACATTCTTTATCCAGAATAAAGCCATTTAACCATCCCCCTCGGACCACACCTACACCATCTACCTCATTATGATTTCTTATCTATTGCACATCTCCAGTCATTGTTTACACGTCTGTATTGTTTACAGACAAACTATCTACATGTTTACTTGTACATTGTCTACTGTTTGTTTGTATATTGTCTTGATGCACTGTTTGCACTTTGTTTTGTTTTTTACACTTGTTTTACAATCAAGAGACTTTCTGTAAGTAAGAATTTCATTGTACCAGTACCGGTTACAAATGGCAATAAAGTTTGGAAATGAACTTGAACTTACCCAACTGAGCCATTTGGTTGGACCTCTTACAAGCCTGAAAGGTGAACACATCAGCACCACCAGTGCCAGAAGATCCATTTCCTACCTCATCTGTAAAAGCATTCATAACACAGTTAAACATACTGCATATATAAGTCAATTTCTATTCAAAGAAGAGTCAGATGTTATACTCTAGAAACACTGCTAACAGAATCTTTCTAAAGTGTTTTTAGAAGTGACTGCTACCTTTTATTAACCTCAATTTAGATGCACTCTATGGAAAACTTAAGAAGGCAACCAACTAGAGTGCTAACTTATTTCCTTTTGTATGATGCAAGATCATCCTTCTGATAATCTCTTCCAGAGACCCAGCTTTTAATGTATACAGTTCTTTTTCCTGTCAAAATAATGTGTAGGAAGAAAGTAATTTAATACAATACAAACAAGTTATCAACACTAAGAGGAATCAATGGCCATATTGATCAAAGCTTCACTTTTCTCCAACAGAACCACAAGCAATGCTGGATTATTCCCCGAGCTAGCTAACATTTTAAGCAGCATAGGAACAAGTAATAGGTTTATTCCATGCTGAAAAAAAAGAAGAAAACACGTTTTGGCCGTGGAGCCTTCTTCAACGCTCCACAGACGAAAAGTTGCATTTTCTTTCTTTTCTTTTCAGCATGGAATAAACCTATTACTTGTTCCTTTGAAGCCTACACATGCTGACGCAGCTGCCCACCTGAACTACTACAATTTTAAGCAGCATGGTTGATAACAATAGTATTCAACTAATAAAGAAGAACGATCGGCAATCAGCTAAAAAAAACACTGTAGTGTGCACGGTAGTTTTCAGGCTCATACAAGGACTCTCTCATCAGTAGATTAAATCCAAAGTTAAAAACACTCACAGTACAAAATGCAATTACTCGATCCAGTTTAACACTTCTTTAACTATTACCAGACTATTGCTTTCTGCACTAAGCCCCTGAATCCCAAACTAAACAATGTTTTTGCTTAACTAGTTAGAAATAACGATAGGGAAGTTGAGTAGAAGCTGTGTAAAGTTCTGTTTGCTTCAGGTATTGCAAACAACCTTGGAACAGGGTATTTTTTACATTTTAGGACTGACTGAAAAAATGTTAATAAAATTATAAAAAAGCAAGCAGATAAGTAAGGTCATTCTTTAAGACCAGGATAAGGATACCCTAAATTAGACCAAAAAAATGCATGCAGAACTTGCAGCAGTCTCCCCACAACGTACATACCCTTATATCGGACTGAACTGCTATAAGATCAGCAAAACAGTAAAGAGTCCGATGGGAATAACAATGTCTCAAACATAAAACTACTATTTAACTTTCAGAAGTCCAGCTGGTTATATCTCGGGAATCACAATTTTAAAAATATTTCCCAAAGAGGAAACAGAACAGATCAAGTAACACATATGAGACCGTGATGCCCCAGGACCTGGGTGGGGAACATTGGAAGTTAAATTCATATCAAAGCAAAAATGCATAAATATAAGCTGCTCTAAAAACCCTGAATAAACTTGCAGTCATTAACAAGGTTTACCTTCAGCACCAGTGCCCAAGACTTCCACATAATCCTGCTGATTGAAAACGTCCTCTTCCGTTTCCTCCTCCACCTGCTTTCCTTTCTCACTCCTGAGGGTCACCAGCTTCTGGGCAGCATGCTTTGGTGCTTTGAAGCCTAGAAAAAATGTTACATTAACACAATATACTACTTCTTAACTACTGCATCGTCGTGAACACCCGAAGAATGCATCACAGCTGAAACTTTGTTTCCTTTCTTCTCTTTTCAGCATGGAATAAACCTTTACTTGTTCCTTCACAAGTAAAAATAACCTTTCAATAACTGCGCACTTTACTATTGGTCAATTTTAGCTGCTGTGCAATAAAGACACTAACTAATTAATCTTCTGATAACCTGCTTGAACAACTTATACATTGAAAAAGTCACCTAGGCACAAAAAAAGTAATCAAGCAGCTAACAATTCGTACGACTATGCTAATAAATGCAAAGTTTGGAAGACGTTTAAAAAAAGTGAAAGAAAGTGAAATATACAACATTGAACGAAATGCAAATAGAACAAAAACATCTAAAATATAAATATAAATGCTTTCCAGCAAGACTGATCTGTATAAAGGGACTTTCGCAACAGCTAGCTAAGCACGACGTAGCATATCGCCAGTGTTATTTCACATGAAAACTACATTTTGAACAAATGGCTGGAAACGCTGAGTGTTTTTAAAATCAAGCTGGTAAACAACAGGGCCATACCAAATTACTTTTTAGAGGCGTTGCTCACGTCTTCCATCACTTACCTTCCTGTTTATCAACAATGTGGTCCAAAACATCTTCGTCTCCCACAAAGCGCACCTCCAGTAAATTAGCCTCCTTCGACCGTTTGTTTGGACTCATGTTTCACTTCACAGACGTAAGGTACAGCACCAATTGAAAAACAACAAATAATTAATACAATAAGCACAATGATATTGAAAGTAATAGTAGAATAAATAATGCATTAAAATTTAAGAACAAATCCATCAATTGTCAGAATCACGCTGCATCGCCTATCTAAAATATCCCTAAGTGAAACGTTTACCAGCAGAAAGCAGAGAGCATTGAAAGGAATATGTAATTACCCCTTATATAGGCATTTAGTGCAAGAAATGTTTATACATTTAAGACACACGTCAAGTACATGCTAACTTTCATACTAACCCCGCTCAAAGTAAAAGCGCTAAAAACTTGTAGTTCAAGCTCCTCAGAAATGCATTCACTTCAAGATGGAAGACCCAAACCTGACGCTAAAGGTTGCAAAAAGCATGAAAAGTTTAAGACACGACTTCCTACGTGCACACCGAGATTACCCGCCACATATGAGTATTTAAATGAAGGTAGAGGGTAAAGGTTATAGTTGTCCAATCTGCAGTAAGAATTTTAGAAACTCAAATTCCCATGACACCGTGAGCTCATTTATAAATTAAAAAAACCCGAGAAACCATCACAGGATCAAGGGATTTGTAGTTTTTTCGACTTTAAACATTGGACGTGCTTTGTGTGTGTAAATTTCTAACAGCGGAACATTTCCAGATCAATTTGTGAAACCCATTTTTCTGCGAAAACTGGATTCTTATTGTTACCGTTTGTTTTCCTGTGCATTCAATGATCATAAGCTGAGAATGACAAAAATAAGGGGCAACACACTGTTATAATAATAATAATAATAATAATAATAATAATAATAATAGCTTACACTTATATAGCACTTTTCTGGACACTCCACTCAAAGCGCTTTACAGGTAATGGGGACTCCCCTCCACCACCACCAATGTGCAGCATCCACCTGGATGATGCGACGGCAGCCATAGTGCACCAGAACACTCACCACACATCAGCTATCAGTGGGGAGGAGAGCAGAGTAATGAAGCCAATTCATAGATGGGGATTATTAGGAGGTCATGATTAGTAAGGGCCAATGGGAAATTTGGCCAGGACGCCAGGGTTACACCCCTACTCTTTTCGAGAAACACCCTGGGATTTTTAATGACCACAGAGAGTCAGGACCTCGGTTTTACATCTCATCCGAAGGACAGTGCCTGTTTACAGTATAGTGTCTATATCACTATACTGGGGCATTAGGACCCACATGGACCACAGGGTGAGCACCCCCTGCTGGCCCCACTAACACCTCTTCCGGCAGCAACCTTAGTTTTTCCCAGGAGGTCTCTTATCCAGGTACTGACCAGGCTCACACCTGCTTAGCTTCAGTGGGTTGCCAGTTTTGAGATGCAGGGTGATAGAGAGAGGCATAAACACTAATTTAGCTGGTTTTATGAAACGAAAAACTAGATTTTTCTATGAGGCAGGACAACTAATAATAACACTAATGACACACTCAAACTTAATCCATTATCAAATCAAGGAAGGACATCATCAAACCTGTGATGGACTTCTTAGCTTGTGTCACCCGGGCTTGCTCAAAATGACGCTCAAGCAGGTGGTAGAGTTTAGTGGCTGAGGAGAAAAATGTGAGTTTTCACGCCTTGAATGACTTTTTCATCACTTTTGTGACTACAAAAGCTCTAAGATAAATGCAGAGCAAGAAAAGAAAATTAATGCTCTTGAACAAAAAGTCAATGAAGTTGAAAGACACCGACGTAGATGTAACTTAAAGTTGTATGGAGTTCCAGATCAACAAAATGAAGGCGTTGTTACTGACATGTGTAAAGCAGTGCTGCCGGTCCAGGAGGAGGATTGTATTTCCTCTATTGACAGTGTTCATTGGTCCCTGCTGTTCTGATCTTGTTGTTGTGTATCGTTGGTTTTAAAATAAGCATGAACATGATTTCTGTTGTCAGCTCGCAGGTTGGCTGTGAATCTGATTTATTGGTTGTATTGCTGTACTTGCGTTACAGGCTATTGTAGTATTTGTTTATTTGGGCCCCCTGTGTACGTGTGTGTTCCCTGCGTGTGCCGTGTTATATTCCGTTTGAATTGGTGGTAGCAGGCTCTTACTCCAAATGCGTCATTGAATTATTACAGTATTTTCTCTCGTTTTTTTTTTTTGTAACGGGATGGGGGGGCTACAATCCCTGTAGCCTAGGGGCCTCTGATCACCTTAATCCGCCACAGCCAATGACCACCCTGTTTGAACGCATTATTTCAAGAATAGCAGGACACTCCCCACTCATGCAAGTCCATTGCAGTCAATACATTCAAATCAGTCAATACACTGCATCGAAGATTAGATATTTTTCTATATGGACTTTCAAGACGGGATCAAACCCTGCAACCACCCGTTTAAAGACCATTATCAGCGCATAACTTTTCAACCATAGCCTTTCTACTGCTCTCCAACACTTTGTGTTAAGCCAAGCGTGCGGTTTATAGTCTATGGTCAGTCCGGACTGATCACCACTGTCCCCAAATAATTTACATGCAAAACTAAACACTGCACCTTTCGAAGGGGAATAAAACAGCCATTCTCTTGACACACACTCGCCATTTCCGAGTTTTCTTTTAAAGAAGGTTTTAGAGAAATACTTTTTTTGGTTTTTATGTTGTCTTTCTGATGCTGTAACATCCGCATCTTTGCTCCGATTTCGGACCCAATTTAGCCCAGTATGCCCTCATCTATTCATCTATTTTACCCCTGCTTGCTGGGTCCGAGCTATAGGAAGCGGGAGCTGCTGTTATGGCCTCTGTTAGCTCCAGGGCAGCAGGTGCAACAGCCATGGCAGCGGCTCGGACATGGGTCATTGGTCTTGTGGAGACAGAGGCAGAGTCATCTGAAACGTCACCGAAAAAAGTAGTAAAAAGTGATTATTTTGAGTACCGCAGAAACAATTTCTCATTTATTAATTAGTGAAGTACAATAGTTCTGCAATTTATTTGAGTTTCTTACAGCTTGCCAAAGATATTCTATAGGATTCAAAGTTTATATATATAATTTTCTTGTTAGAGCCTTAAATGACTGCATTGAAACATACTAAGGTCCAATCACCTCCACAGCAAATTAAAGACAAACAAAAATCAGATTTGTTCAGAAACAGCACAATATTTATTTAACATATTACATATATAGATATTTCTCTCTCTGCATTTCAAACTGCTCTTGATTTTGTTTTTACATCTTTTATTTACAAGGATTTAAAATATTTATTTTCTTTTCAATTCTCAAGACAGATATTTACAACATCAATGGTACAACAGTTCACGGTTTCTTCATGTCAAACCATTGTTCAGAAACAGCTACAAAGAGAATGGCTCACATGCACAAGTCCAGTGACCTCAAAAAACAGACACCCAGAGTTACTGCCAATTGAGTCTTTCACAATGGACATTACTGTAAGGACATCTTTACACTGGCCCCAAATAAAGGAAATACACATTGAAAGCAGAACTATGTCTTCTGAATTACCATTGGGGAAGTAAAGGCATTAATGATTTGATGCTGAAGTCTTTAATACTATAACAGCAGTACAATGCTGTGAACACTCTGCATCACTTGGCTTTGTGACAGAACATTCTGATTTCTACATATGAATACGTATATACACATAGATAACAGAAAAATACACGTTTTGCATAGAGCTCGTAAAGTGTGTTGATATTTTGAAACCTTGCACAAAATAGAAAATGGACATGAATGTGGGGCAAAGGTACGATTGTCAGATGAAGAAGGAAGAATTAAACATAAAGCATTCCTGCAGAATTTAAACTGCTGCATGCAAATACATCTCAAGTTTAACTTCTCAAATGTGCTGGTATCATCTATCAGCTATTTGAGACTCGAAAAACTATAAATTACTATTTTATCAGATCTTTTATGAGGTTGAAGGACTTGATTGTGGTGTGCCATGATTGGTAATGAGTTTTGGTGCTTATTAGAAGAATAACAGGGCATTTTTTTAATTGTATCTTTAGTTTTTGGTACACAAAGGACATTGTTCACCTTAAATAATTTAGAAAAGGAAAATGTCAACATACATCCCCACTAAGCTGCAGCTTACAGCTAATGCTTAAAACACTTAAAACACTGACTAAAGCACTGACCAAATATTCGGAATATTATATTATGCTTGAAATAACTATAGAAGCCTACAGAATTGTGAGATTGGCAATTAAGTTAGGCATTCTAAGAAAACCACAGTGTTGCTGCTAAAACAAGGAAAAACTGGCTTCCCAGGGTGATTGTTTTGCCTGTTTTAAAACAAAAAAACAAACAAACAATGGTACTTAAGAATTCACATTTACATTTATTTTAAATGTTCTTATACTAATTGATTTTTTTATTGTACAGTAGAGAAGGAAGAGGTAGACCATAAGCAATTTACCCAATAAAACAATTGTTCAATTGTTCACAATTATTCTCCTCTGCTTTGGACTTCATATTCTAAGAAATGTTATTGTTCACTTAATTAAGCCCCTCTCAGTTAGGGAATAACTAATTGAGTTTTTATACAGTTTGATTCTTATTTTCCTATTTTGTAAAATAGAATGGCAGTTCTGCATTGAATAACAGCACTTCCAAATATATATTTTTACTGCAAACTTTAATATTGGTACAAATACTGTACAATAACACCTCATTTATGCTGCTTTAAATATTTGGCTTTAATGTCTTCACTTTAGTTACAGTAACTTAACAGTTATACATATCAATATGTATTATTTTTACATATAGTACACATGACCTTGTTATTGGAAAATGTTGGTGAGGCCTATTGAGCAACACACCATTAGATATGACAGATATTTTAGATAAAAAGTAAGGTCAGTAGTATTTTTCTAGTTGCATATTGCTACAATTCTAGCCAAGCTGCTAACATGACTAGATTTCATGACTACAATTTACCAGTCTGAATGAAGACCTAAGGATAGACATTTTTATCTATTATAGAAACTAAGAGTACTATTTTGATGAATATCTAAATAAATTCCAACTATAATCTATTGTAAACATTATACAAAAGTTCTAAACTTGGATTTGTAATACTTCGACAATGACTAAAATAAATGAATTCCCCCCACCTTTTTTGATAAATGAACTTAATACCAAAGCTTTTGGCTTGTAAAGATTTGAGTGTTCTGGTGGCAGAACTAACATGGGACTGCTTTACAACAGTCTTTGAAGTGACTTTTGCCTGAATCAAAGTTGATGCTATCTATCCAGCCATTTTCTAACCTGTTTATCCAACAAAGGGCTGTTGGGGAACCGGATCCTATCCCGGCAAGCAACAGGCACAAGGCATGATACACCCTGGATGGGATGCCAGTTCATCATAGGGCACAGACATCATAGAGCACAGAGCACAGACACAGACAAGTACACTAGAACCCATTTTCCCAAAAGCCAATTAAT